GTATAACATTCAGTTCTTGTTTAGTTTTTGCAGTAATGCGCAGCATAATGAGTATGATTTTATAAGACAGGAACTTAGCAGTGCAGCTATAATGACATATTCTCCTTTCCTTGGATTATCTTTTTGAAGACTGAAAAACACAAAGGTTGCAGAGGGAATCTGAGTCAAACACAAACACGGCAGCACAGTCAGTTTTGATATGAAAAATTAATTTGAGAGGTTTAGAGAATAATGAATTTCACTGGGTAATTTTTGAAGCACATTACATTTTATCAGACGTTATTACATTTTTAATGTATTAGTAAGACTGAATGATTTCATATGCTATTATTTATTAAAATGTTAATTATTGATTCGTCACGTGACATCAATTCAAATTCACCACTGAGTATACCTGGCCTAATTTGATCTATCCATACACAATTTTCACACGGAAAAGGCTGCACTTTGATTCGGCAATCCTTCAGTTGCACAGATGTTGAGCTGCAAGAAGTGAATACATCAAACAAATAGCTAAAGTTAAATTCAATTTAATTATTCTGCAGGAAGATTGAGCTTAATCTTAATCAAGGTCAATGTGATTTACCCATCATGTAAGTAGTAATCACAATAGTGACCTCATTTTCTTCCCAGAATGTTGGATTTGGATGATTGATCATGTAACCAAAGCGATCAACCACACTTTCCCCCTGCTCTCAGAACAGATTGGTCATTTTGGTCAGCATGTTGTTATTAGAGAGTGTGAGAGAGCATACCCTTGACTGAATCAACTCACCACAATAATCAAAAGACACAAAAATTGGACTATTGATTTTTTGGATAGCTTCAATTGTTTTACGTAATTGCCACTTGATTCCTTCCTCTGGTCTGCAGGATTGCACTCCCACTGAGAGGATGTGTGTAATTATGTTCAGCTTCCTAATTGGTTGATTCTGTATCAGAGGATATTGGATGTTTAACACAGAACATGTGCATACTGAGCACATCCATGTATTATTCTGCTGTGTCTAATTCTCTGTCTGTCTTACATTCAGATATTACCATGACACAGAATCTGGTTCTCAACACTACGTGGGAGGACCTGGACCCTTCCAATTTCTCAATATTGCAGGAAAACCCTTTGACCCACCAGAACATCACTTATGTTGATTTCTACCTCCACAAGCCCTCTGTGGCTGCAGTCTTCACCGTCTCCTACCTGCTAATCTTCCTGGTGTGCATGGTGGGCAACGGGGTGGTGTGCTTCATTGTGCTGCGCAGCAAGAACATGCGGACAGTCACTAACCTGTTTATTCTCAACCTCGCAATCAGTGACCTGCTGGTTGGCATCTTTTGCATGCCAACCACACTAGTGGACAACATCATAACAGGTCAGAAAATATTATAATTCTTCCTCTCTTATTGGCTTTGATTTGGAAATTGTGAGGCAATAGTAAGGGGAAGCAAGTCTGATTCTTGCCTATTAGAAGTCATTTTAGCATTTAAATTATTCATGCACTTATGATTTTCTTTTATGTTTTCATACAATTTTAGCAGTTTTTCTCTCTCCTTCAGGATGGCCATTTGGCAGTGTAGTCTGCAAACTAAGCGGTATGGTTCAAGGCATATCTGTGTCAGCATCTGTGTTCACTCTAGTGGCAATAGCTGTTGACAGGTGAGTGTTGTTATAACATCACTGGCTATTATGTGCTTGTGTGTGGGTGTGTGTGTGTGTGTGTGATCCTAAGAGAGCTCTTTTACTTTATGCATTTCCTCCAATCCCCTTTGTGTCAGGTTCCGCTGCATCGTCTACCCTTTCAAGCAGAAACTGACCATCGCCACCTCAAAGCTAATTATCGTCATCATATGGGTCCTGGCTGTGTCCATCATGTGTCCCTCCGGGGTCATGCTCCAGGTCACAAAGGAGCAGAGGGTGCGGATAGTCCTTGGCCACAACAACAACACTCGCCCTTTCTATTGGTGCCGGGAAAACTGGCCAAATCAGGAGATGCGGAAGATCTACACCACTGTCCTCTTTGCTAACATCTACCTCGCTCCTCTCAGCCTCATTGTCATCATGTACGCCCGCATTGGCTTCACTCTCTCAAAAACCACTATTCCTCCAATTAGGGGCAGTGGAATTGGGTCTGGGCAAGGCAAATCGAGCATGGAGGGTCGTCACACAATTTCAAAGAAGAAGACTCGGGTGATAATGATGTTGCTGGTTGTGGCTCTGCTCTTCATCTTATCCTGGCTTCCCCTGTGGACGCTGATGATGCTGAGTGACTATGCCAGTCTGACAGAGCACCAGTATCGTGTCATTAACATCTACGTGTATCCCTTAGCTCACTGGCTGGCCTTCTTCAACAGCAGTGTCAACCCCATCATCTATGGGTTCTTCAATGAGAACTTCCGCAGAGGCTTTCAGGCTGCTTTCAAATTTCAGCTGTGCACTGCTGACATTGAGCACCAGAAGACCTACTCCCATCGGATCCGGGGGCACGCTGTGCTCCCAGTCCAGCCGGTTGCCCTCAGTAGATCAGGCTTAGTGGGAAATGAGAAGTGTTCTTGTCAGGAAGGAGGGTGCTTGGCCAGTAGAGGTGATATCAAAGAACAGGATCTCATCATGGAGGACCTGGAAAAGGTATCCCAGATTTAGACAAACTAAGACTGTGCAGTGCACTTTCAGAGGATCTGAGGCTTCTGTAGAATCATAAATTGCATTTCAAGGACAATGAAAAACAGGCTGAATGTACTTGCAATCCCTTATGAATGTGTATTATGGTGTACATAAAAAAATAGTTCCCACAATCTTGGTTTAAAAATCCTAAGAACTGTTTACAGTGCAGCCAAACAAAATTATTTTAAAAAAGTTTTCCAAACTAAAACTAGGCATGGTAAAGTTGGTTACTTTGCTGAAGAGTTGGAGGTGTAGCAGCTTGCAGTTGTTCATCTAACAGCTCACTGTGGCTGCTCCTTCGGGTTCCATTACCCCCCTGCAAGAATAAATAAATAGAAAATAAAAAATAAATAGTGAGGCAGATATCAATGAAATAAAATTTTAATCCAGCACGGAAATGGCAGACTCACCATGAACAATGAAAATGAATACATAGAGAGGTAACTACAGGATTTTAATATACTGAATGGCTATAGTATCAAAAACTGGGTTGTCATGAAAATCTTACGGATTATAAAACAATACCCCTCACCCCCAGCTGATCCTCATCTGCTTTAAAGAGAAAAAAAGAGCACAGACAAAAAACTAAATACCAAAGTCTCTCATGTGAAATAACCTTAGATTGTGTTTTTGTTGCTCACATATTGTCTCTTTGCAGGTGATGTAACACCGGTGACATTCAATGAATGGCACAGTGGCACAGTTCGATCAGGCTTTTATTAAGGAGCTCACTGAACATTACTCTTACTCCTGGAAGTTTTTAAAGTTGCAGGAAGAAAGAAGGCCTGTGGCATCTTTGGTAATTTAAGATACCCAGATTAGAATAGCACATATCTCAAGGGCGAAGTGCAAAGCAGTGTGATGAGAACAGTATCAGCTTCCTCCAGTCAAAGTGCATGTTCTAGTTTCCCGAGGCAGTTGTGCTGGGCCGATGGCTGTGACATGGAGTGGCAGGGGAAGAGGATTGCAAGCTCATTTGGAAAACCTCCATGTGCCCTCCTGTTCTCTGCTTCCTCACAGGGGGACTATAAAATTTGAACACTTAAAACTGCCATGTCAAAGAGAAGAATGTTACATTTATTAGCAGAAGTGGGATTTGGGCAAAGAAGAAGTGCAGACAAAATTAAATGAGACTTACCATACCAACAGAAGGCATGAGCACATATTATATGCATATTGTGGTACATAAAGAGGGTACTCTGAAACATGAAAAAGTGGGAGAGATTCACCATCAGTTGAATCAAATGTGAATTAATCTATATGCTTAATATCCATTTGTGCTCTACACTGGACCATGTGCTGTCTTTTTTCAGAAGCACATGAACATGACTCCTCTACATAACAATACTATATGTCGATTATGCTCTGCTACAGTGGGAGAACTTTGGAGTAGCTATCATAGTTGTGCGCAGGCCTGCTTTCTCACATAATAATGTGTAATTTTACAAAGGTAATAGCTTTGTCAAGGATTTACAGCATTGAGGTAAATGTTATTTCTTGATACTATTGTGTTTTTGCCCTTTTTCCACATATAATTACATTTGAATTGTTACTTCATCATGTGACATGTTATTTACGGTGGCCGACAAGGGCAAACGTGCCGCAAACAGCAAAACGCTTCAAAC